TAATAGTTTATATACTTCAATAGAGATGTTTTTGTAAAGATATAAACTGGTTGTGTTAATGTTTAGTGACTTTTCTATCGCACATTAAAAGTAAATAAAGCCATATTAATAAAAAAATAAAAAAAAAAACCTCTTCGTTAGTCTTGAAACATTAGGGATTAAAAGTCTCATGAAAATATTAAATATCTAACCAGATCTTTATAACAAGATTATGCAGGCTTGGTCACAGACAACGCCTACTGAAACATCTGTCATCCATATGCCTACTGCTGTTTAAATAAGATGGGAGGTTAAATTTCTCTTTTCCTTTTTTAACCTTCACTCTCCATCCACGCAGCCTTCATGAAATAAAAGTATTCTGATGAACCTAAATCGAAAATCACGTGTTTTGTGGTTTATACAGAAGTCTCAAGTTTTAATGTGCTAATAAACTGTCTGATTTAATGCATATTTACCTTTTTCTCCTTTAAAATTTATAGAATATTTAAGTAATTCAGTTGTTTTTGATAATAGGTTTCTCGATTTATCGTATTCTGGTTAAATCTGTCATAAATGACTTAGTCTCAACACACTTATTCGTAAAAATTATTCTTGAAACTATTCTCCTATGAACATTTAGTTGCATGATCACCAACTACCTAAAGAGAGGAACAACACTGAAAATTTTAAATTACACTATACACTTCAAAGAAGAGAAGGCATTAAATTTTCAAAAAATTAAAATATATGAAGAATTAAAGGTATATAAAAAATGATACAAATATTTCTTCCCCTAAATAAAAATAACATACATCGTTGCCAATTTTTAAAACTAAATCTTCATTGATGAAGGGTCTTACAACTCAGCTCGAAAATAATTTCAGTTTTATAACCGAGGTGCCATAAATCTAAGCTTTTGTTAGCTTCTTAAATATTTTATTCTTCTCCTTTAAAACTAACATTACAGTGAAGGTATGTGTGTTGGTTTTATAATAGACCAAACTCTATTGTTTAAATACATTCACATTTTATTATTTATACCATAAAAAGAAAGAATTACGAGTCGTGTAAAAGCCAAAATCCAGAAGAGAAATTATTCACAGAACTTCTGTCCCTTCTTCGACACTTATCTTTCAAATTCTGTCCTTTCCAACATCTTTTGAAATGTTATTTATTCCTATATATTTTGTCAGTTATTTGTTATTCTGAAAATATTTTTCTTTCTTAAACTTTCTCTTACTGTTGCCATTAACCATTCTCTAAATTCTGTCTTACAGAGACAATGAACTTGAAAACCGTTTGGATTACAGTTTTAAAAATTGTTATAATTTTTTCCATTTGTTTATCCGAGTATAAAATTATAAAAAATATAACAAAATATTAAAAAAAATATGCCGTTTAAATTAGTTAAATATAAAAAGAGACTTGCATTCTTTAGCTACAACAGATTTTATAATAATCGTTAGATTTCTTAAGGGGGCTGTATAACTTCGAACACTTTTTAATTTTTCAAGTTTGTGCATTTAATTTTGGCTTTAAAGTAATTAATAATGAAAAAATGAAGAAGCTGATTTATTTAATGACCTTCAATTTTGTATATTTGGAGTAAAGTAAGAAAACAAGCAAGTGAAAAAAAAAAAAAAAAAAAAAAAAAAAAACAGCAATATTTACAATAAATAAAAACACTGTGTTAAAAATAGTATAAATATATTTTCATATTTTGTAAAATGCAAACCCATCAAAATGATATTCTCAAGGAGGTAGACTAAGGAAGTTATTTAAAAAAATTTTTAAATTAGAATGTGTAATATAACAAAGAAAAGCATATTTTCTCATTAAAATTCATGTTTAACACATAATAACTTTATAAAAAATCTGATGTGTTACCACAAGACTTCCTTGCACGGAATATTAAATTACACGCAATTTTTTTTGATTTCATTTAAACTTATTGGATTGAATTAAACCTACTTCGTCGATAGCGCATAAACCAAAATAGAATAAATGCACTCTTTAAAATTCGCTATGTTTGTTTACCATAGCGACACTCTGGCGTAACTTTACTTAATAACATTACATTTCTTTCAAATTATAACTCAGAATGCATATAAATTTATGTCATTTAAAGAATCTAATCGTTGCCGCATGTTCTATTCAAATACTATAATAAATTTAAAACGCAAAAGAAATTAAGGAAAAAAAAAAAAAAAAACCAGAAAAGAAACAGTTTTTCACAGACGATTCAGTATTTCTCATTCAATCAATTCAGTTCTAACTTCCAGACAAGGCAAAAATACATAAAAACTAAAAATATCTATATTAGCAGTTACGAAGTAAATCTTAAACACTTATTATCTCGACTAAATTCCAGAATGGATTAAACATGATTTACTTCGCAATAATAAAAGAAGGCCTTATCTTTGTTGTTGCGAAGCTTAGTTTCTCTAGATTGGCAACAAATCCGATATTTTGCCAAGTTTGAAATGTAAACAAACATGTCCGCCATCGCAAAATTCATTAGGCTTACCTGCACTTAAACAACTTTTAAATTGTTGATAACTTCACAAATATTGCATGCAGATTTACTAAAGGCATAAAAACCTTGGGGAAAGTGCAGAATCGCCCACTGCTTGGCGCGTTTTTAAGAATTGCACATACTCGGTATCTATGTACACATCGACCCATTTTTCACTTAAAAAGAATCCCAGAATTGCACAAAAATGGCATTGTGCACTCCCTTTATCTATGTACACACCGACCTATTTTCACTTAAAAAGTCAAAGAAAATTGACAAAAATTCAATTCTTCTTACTCTTGTAAAAAGCGCCAAGCAAATAAGTGGGCGATTATGCGCTTTAGCCCAAACCTTAACCGGAAGATAAGGAAAAATATAATTAAATAATTTCTAAAGCAAAAAATGCACAACTTGCAAACATATAAGAGTAAAGAAACTGAGAAAACTGAGCCGGTTAACAGAGTGAATATATATATTTATACACGTTTGATGAGGACGATTGCAACCAAAATACGAGGTGCACATCTACACGTTATCGCAGTCCTATATACAAAATTTCAACGCTCTGAAGCTACTCGTTTTTGAGTCACTCGAGATACGTACACGTACGTACGTACAGACGCCACGAAAAATTCTCTTCAGAATTCATTTAAAATCTGTTTTATAATTTTTGGTGGAAAACAGTCTTTTATTCTGTCCTTAAGTTCAGATGTCACACAAAAATATCGTTAAATTGCGTTCGATAGCGGTCAAAATGGATATTTTCGTTGAAATATGCTGCCTGAAACTTTTTGCGATTACAATACTTCCTTTTTACTTCATACAAGGAAGTAAAAATGCATTTATCAATTATTAAATAGTTTATCTCCTTACATGAAGTGTTCTAAACATGTATACCAATTTACATTAAGATTTCAATCATAATGTTTAGAGATATTGTGCTTCATGTTAGCATTAAAACACGAAAAATGAAAAACGAGATAAACGCATTTAAAGAATTCAAACACTCGATTACCTATTTTTGATCAGTTTGCCAACTTAAAATTGCCCTGATTTAAAATTAATGCCCTCTTTTTTTCAGAATTTACATTTTTTTGCTTTCTTGTAGCTTTTAATCTGCTTTTTAGCCAAATCAGGGAATGTCGTTTTGCATTTTCGATACGGTTAACATCAAAACTTTCATACTCGTTTGCAGTGTAATAACCAATATCTATACCTAATTTACCATATCTATACCTAATCTATACCAATATCTATCTATACCTATGAAATAATGAATAGTACTCGGTAATAAATAAAAAAAGTATCAGCAATGTAAGCACAGAATCAAAACACGAGCGAAAATGCATTAGTGAATTCATAACACACAGCTTGAAAATATGCTAGAACTTTGTTTTGTTGCCATCATAAAAATGCTTTTTGGTCTTTAAAATGCAATTAGATAAAGTTTTAAGCCCCGAAAATAGAAGTAAACAACACTGACACACCCACTTCGGTCTTTTAAATATTTACTTCTTGTGCACTTCCGGGTACGCGTTTCGCGGACAAGGTGTCAAATAAAGTATCATAACTCCGGTTTAAATGAACGTAGGAACTAAATTCAAACAGTTTTGGAAACATAAGAAATAAGACTTTCATCGAGCATAAGGAAAGGAATTTTTTAACCCAAATCTCGGTTTTGTATAAGGTACACAGCCCCCTTTTGAATATAACAGAGTATGCTAGGATACAGAGTTAGAAATTTTGCAACTGGTAAATTACAGTATTATTTATATAAAATAAATATTAGTATATTAAAGTATTAACACTAGTTGGCTTCGTTGAATATTTATATGTTTGGAAACATGTGCACATATTAAACTTTATATATATGTATATAAAGTTTAATATATATAATGAAGCAAACTTAAATGCTCTGATGTAGGAATTTCAATTGCGTAGATACTGAAAATGTTGCATTTCATAGATGTTGATTTGTAATGAACAGCAACTCGGCAGATGAGACATATCAAATATTCATTTCTATTTCGGTTAATATTTTGACGCTACAAACAAGAACATTTGTATTTTAAATAGCTTTCAAGAACATTTGTATTTTAAATAGCTTTGCAGGCAAAAGAAAAGCAGCAAGCAGCAGGTCTACCTAGGCCGAAATGCAGAAACCATGTGAGTTATGTTCAGAATGAAATCTTAATTCAGAATGAGTTTGTTTACGTTTGTCGATAATTAATTGGATAATTATAAAAGCTGTAAAATTATTACTAGTTGTTCGAGTTTTAATTCCATTTACATCACCGGCATTCTGCAAGAGTCATACGCCATGGATTAGTCTCCGAAATGGCTCAATGCAGAAAAATGTATTACCATATTTAGAACAGAGGCGGGAAATACTCAAAATTAATCATTAAGGGGCAATTGCTAATTTAAATTATAATATACGAGTATATCGTTTATCTACATATTTTTTATCTTTCTTGAATCTTATAAATTTTCTTTTATCATCTAGTTGAACCAAATGACGAGTTGGATCGATGGGAGTTTCGTTTACAGTACGAGTGAGGCTTGGGTGAATAGTATGAGATCTTTTGAAAATGGGACACTCATATCTGATTCAAGTGGTCAATTCCCTCCAAGGAACTATGCAAGGGCGCCCCTCATCAACTTTCCTCCTGCAAGATATTTGGGGACGTTGAGCCCTGAACGGATGTTCTGTAAGTATAATTTAATCATTGTATATATTTCATAATTTAATCATCGTATATATTTCATAATTTAATCATCTTATATATTTCCTAAGAATCACAAAATTTCAAAAAGCCTGGTTTTAATATATTACAGGAATTTTGTTTTAAAACCTTCTTTATAAGAAGTAAGATTTTAAATTATGACACAAATTTCTGAATTATCAAAATTCTTTGAATTCTTTTAAATTTCTAAGAAAAACATGATTGATATATTCATTATATAAATTTAATATTAAAATAGTTCGAGTATGACTTTTAAATATCAGTTTTGAATCGAAGGATTCTTAGATTAGGAATTTTAAACGCAGTTTCCACAATTTGCATTTCTCCTTGTTTATTCAAATTCTAATAGCTCATACAATAATTATTTAAATATTTTGAAATTTTTAGCTGTTGTTGCTAACAAAAGCCTTTTTTTTAAATTATACGTGATAGAACTCTCAAAAGACGTCAAAAAACGAATAAAAATTAATTAGTAATTGAAATCAAATACAATGAAAAGAGATAAGTAAAATATTAATACAATGTGTTAAATTAATGACAAATAACTAAATTATAAAATAAAATTTCTCGCCCCGTCTTATTTAAGACTTTGGCTATTACAGTTTCTTCAAAACTAAAACGTAGCGGACACTGGCGAAATTTGTCCTCACTATGCAATAAAATGTATTACTTCAAGTGATTACAAGGTATTCATTTTTTTCCAGCATGCCTATGATAAAAAGTAAAAGAGTAGAAATTTACTAATGAGAACGCAGAGAATGCTAGAAACTTTATGAGAGAGTCTGGAAAAACGTTTTAACTGAGAAATGCAGGTTTAAAAACAAAAGTAGAAGAGTCATACATTCTATGAGTACAATTTCCTACCAATATAAATATATAACTAGCAAACATAATGTGTAACGAAGGGAAAGGATGTCTAAAACTCCGATAAAAGAAAGGCTGAGCTGTAAATTTGCATGACCGTTTTCATAGTTTTCTCCTTGTGTAACGTGGATACGAGCCATTTTCTCTTATGAATTTCCCGACACCTCAACTGTAGTGAATCGAACCAAATCAAATGAAGCTTAGAACAAATATATAATTTTGCGTAATTGATCATTTTTATCCTATGTTTTCAATGTTGGAGGTTTGTAAATGGGAATGCCATTCCATATACCAAAAGCATCTCTGGCTCAATGCTGTTAACAAATAGTTCGTAAATCAAAGTTCTTAAAACTCAAGAAGTTCACCAGCGGCCAAGCGGTTAAAGTTTCTGAGCACTGGTAGTTCGCTACTAGGTTTGAATCCTGCTATGGCTGCATGGGCGCTTTCGTGTTTTTCCTCATGTGTAACGTGTATACAAGCCAATTTCTCTTAGAAAGTCGTCAACGAAGGCATCTCACCCATTAGGCAGGCAGCCTTCGTGGCTTTGTCGTAATCACTTAAACCGAAATAAATATTGAAACTCAAATTATCTCATTAGTATACATGTAATGGTATATCTGGGTATTATTTTTCGGACTTCACCCATTATCAAAATAATCTACGCACGGTGAAGTTTTTTCTTTTCCTCATTTGTTTTCACTTGTTTGTCACATCAGTAAATCATTTTACCTTTTTAAAACAAACAAAAAAAAAAAATGAAATGTGCCCATACTATTGCTACAAAGATACATTACTTTGCAGCAGTTTCAAATATTGCATTTTTCTTTCGTGTCATGCTCACATCTTTTCCAGATGCTTTTCCACTAAACCGCTTAGTTCATCAGTTACAGTTTAACTAGTTGATCTTATTTCGTATTAAGAAATACGAAACACTCTTCCAGAGCACAGTGGAAAATATAAGACTTGAAGAACGTCGAGATCTAAAACAAAAATCTGAGATTTGTTTGTTCAACTTATCAATTTATTCAACTTATCAGACTTGTTAACAAATATGCTGAAGGAACAGGCATGGTCACTTCATTAACGCCTGTTACTATCAGTAAGTGGAGAGACCGAAATTTTAAACTTAATGAAACAGAAAAGTGGCCAGTAATTACGCAGTCAATGCAATATTTTAAAACTATTAAATTGCCCTTTTGAAAACTGAGCTACAGTTCACATTTTAGAAAAAAACTTACATATTACATAATTTTGTCCATTTTGATGCCATAATTTTTATGCCATAATTTTTATAATCGGGCGTTACATTTTTAAAAATATAGTAGCTCATAAATATTTTTAAAAATAATTTATAAAAATATTACACAGTTTCATAAATTATAAAATTGTGTAAAATTTTAATTGCAGAAAAATCAGCTACATATTATACTGATTCTTTCTACTACATTCCATACTGCGTTTATCTGATTCTTAATTCTAAAATTAGAAAAATTTCAAAAAGAGCAGAATATTTTAAAATTTTATAACTTTACCGTAAAGAAAGATATTTGGTGTCCCTAATTATCTAGATATTTAAACTGTAGGAAAGGATGTTTTATTCAAGTTGAACAAGAATAGGTAATTTTTCAGTTCTGTGGTGATTTTTAAGTTATTCTTGAATAGCAGCGGTAATGAAATATTCCCTAGAGGGAAAGCTGTTTTCAAATATTTTTCAACGTAAGCGAAGTTCCTTTGTGAATTTTTAAAGCTCTTTCATTTCTCTTTTGTGCTGGAAGATTTATATTATGTTTTCAATGTTTTGTCAGTCTGATTGATGGATATTCATGGCCAATGTTTTTTTCTTTCTAGAAAATTTTTGAATAATTTTTCATAGTAGTAATTACGAAAAATGCAATGTAATGTTCAATATAAAATGTACTGTAAAATTTGAAACGCGATTTTTAAATGTTGCATCTCCTGAAATAATCGTTCAAAGAACTGGCTGTCTGCTAAGCCACGGGAAGGGGGTAAAGATTAAACAAATTTTATTATAAAGCAACAGGATTTAAAAAGACAAATATAATACTTTGGCTAAATAGGCTTTCCATCCATTATACATAACTAACATGAGATCAAAGGCCCTGTAAAATGTTTCTATAAATATTTATCAATTTATAATTTTTAACATCATTTGTCAAACATTTAGCAGGACATTGAGGACAGAAATACAGCTTTTAAATAGGCTATTTTTAGCTTTTACGCGACAATTCAAGTTATTTCCACTTTTGTTGAATTATGTATGCTTAACATCAGATGTTTAAAAGCTAGCTTAAAATACATAGCTTTAAACAAGTTTAAAAATCAGAGATTTACCACCATTGTAAAACATCTGATAGTTGCTTTTTATAACTTAGGGAAACAATATAGTTTTGAATTCGGCTATTTTCTCTTTTTTACATGAAATATTTCCTCTAATTTCCTCAATCTTTCCTATATTGACTACCTTTGCTCCAGTTTCAGTTCTGTGGCTTCATGTACGTCTGATATCAAGTATGCGAATTCAACTTGAACCTTGTGTTACCATTTAGTTTCATAATAAAATCAATATAATAATAAAAGTTATAAAAGGCTTTAAATTTAAACTTGTAACTTTATGTAATTTTCTGACTAGTGCTGATAATTCTATTGAAGATGAAATATTTTAATTACTAAACGTTCATTTTAAATAAAGAAAAATAAAATAAAATAAAAATAATTTATAAGGTACTTCTGCTAGTTAAAGTTTTATTTCTAATGCTTGGCAGTAACGTTGAATTCCGTTTAATAATGAAACGCATTTCTTAACGATTTCATAATAGCGTATTCATTCGCAAGATATACTTCGTTTCGAAAAATATATAAAGATATAGCTACGTTTCGAAATTAATATGTTATTTTACAGTTAGATATATCAATTTTATTCTTCTTTTGGACCCGCGTGTAGTGGGATTCAAGCTGACTGCCACCTGTTGGAATGAAATAATTTCCAAACTATCTGTAGTTATGCGAATCTACTCTCAAAATTAAATTTTAATACTTATTTAAGCATGAGTGTCCGCTGGGGCTGAAACAGGGGGTACCTCTCTTTTTCTCTCCCCCAGAATTGAGTGAAAAGTACTTGTTTGTTTTGTTACATGTACAACATATTGTTTATTTTGATGCAATACAATATTATACACCATGTTCAGAAAACACCTGGTCGGGTTCTTCCACAACTTTTGACATACATCCAGTTAGTAGACACGTACATCCAGTTACAAAAATGATTTAAACGATTCAAAAATTAATGTTTTTGTATTCTTAAATTTAAAACAGTTAATTTACACGTTCCTCTGATCCGTATACTCAGGAAAATTTTGTATTCGTTATAAAAAATAAAACGTAAAAAAATTGACTGTGTGACAAAAACTGATTGAGGTATATATAATTTCACAATTTGCCATATTTGGCGTCCTTCTGAATTTACACTGAGAGGTCGCGATTAATGAATAAGTTAGAATAATTCGGAGTTGATTTTTTCCCCTTAAGTACTATTCAACGTCTTTCCTTTTCATTGTTTTTATTTACTGATTCTTTTTTATGGTTTTGTTGCATTTAGTATGCCGAAAGAATTTTCATACAGTAATTCGTAAGTTTTCAAACTCTAAGTTTGTAACTATGTAACATTTACTTTAGAATGATAATATGATAATGGTAAAGCATTCCTTAAAGTAGAAATATTTTTCATTTTTATTGATGCAAATACCAAGATGTTTATGAGCCGATACTGAGCCTACCAGTGTTTTCTAGAACATGAAGACTAGATTATACAAAACAAATAAATCTGAAAGCTTTCAGATTTTATATTACGCCAAAAGGGCGTGATTTTCATTTACATGCAATTACACGTTTCGAGAGCATTTGGGCTAACGCCCCTCTGGACGAAAAAAAAATTAAAATAGCATCTCTTTAGAATTTCCGAAAGATAGTCTCACGTGTTGGAGATAAAAGTATTTTATTCCATAGTGTGTTGCCACTGCTCGCTTTGAAATTGTTGAGTTTGTTAATAAAAATTCGCTAGTTTAAAAAATATGAAATAGATA